TGATTTCAGAGAGAAACGACGACATTTAGATTTTTCCTATTTTGTCACTACATTTCTGAATTCGGGCAGAACTTCAATCCGCCTATTAGTTTCGGAAATACGCGTGAAACAAACTTCAGCAAAAATTTAAAACAAATCGTGAAAAATTTGAAAAAAATTAATTTCATCACTTTCTTGTGAAATCGCGTATATGAGTACAACTCTCGACAAATCCGACTATTAGTTAAGAAAATACGCGTAAAACTTTTTATTTGATTTGATTTATTTAGAGTCACATCGACTACATAGAGTTATTAGCGACTACCTTAAGAATACACAATCAGTACAAAATAACACAGTAACTTAGAATTTAACATATATGTTTATATATTGTTACAAAGCAAATGAATTTACTGCACTGTTCTTGTTTTTGAGATCTTTAAGAGAACTTAGTTTGTACTTGTTTCTTGCACTTTCATATTCAGGGCAAACAAACAAATGTTCTACTGAAAGAGGGATCTTGCACATACTACAGTTATCAGCATCCGTCCGGTTCAATAAGTAGCCGTGTGAAAATTTTGTGTGTCCTTTTCTACATCATTGTACGACGACCTGACCATTTCTGCAGACTCTGACCGTCGGATTATCATCTTCAAGTTTCCTAACTGATCTTAATTTGCAACACTGTCAGTTGTTCCATTCTTTACTGTCGAGGTCAGCTAATTTGTTCCTGACTCTTTTGAGAAATTCTTGATAGCTTACTGGTATATCACTTCCAACTTCGCTTCGCGTTGCTGCTTTTGCTTTTCTATCTGCCAATTCATTTTCTGCATGAACCAATGTTCTGAAACCTTCTCGCTTATCTCTGAAATAACGTATGTGGGTACAGCTCACTACGAATAAATCAATGGAGCATACCACACTTCAATCCGACTATTAGTTTAGGAAAACGCGCAAAACAATGTTCTGCCCCAAATTCATATATTAAGTGGAAAAAAAAGAAAAAAAATTAAATTCATCGAATCCTTCTGATATCTCGTATATGAGTACCGCTCGCTACGAGAAATTTAATGGAGCAAACCACACTTCAATCCGACTATTCGAGTAGGAAATACGCGTGAAAAAATGTTTTGCCCGAAATCAGCAATTTAGTTAAAACATTGGAAAAAAATAAAATTCGTCGCTTCTTTCTTAAATCACGTATCTCGGTACATCTCACTACGAGAAGTTCAATGGTGCAAACAAGACTTCAATCCGAATACTAGTTTAGGAAATACGCGTGAAATAAAATTTCTGCCCGTGTTCAGAAATTTAGTGAAAAAGTAGGAAAAAACTAAAATTCGTCGCTTCTTTCTGAAATCACGTGTATGGGTACAGTACAAAGAAGGAGGAGCTGCCATATTAGATGATCTTAATAAAAATCATCATAATGTTATTCTAGGTATTAAACATATTAATCCCTTATTAATAATTAATCTACGACTTCCTAATCGCTCATAAATAGTATTTGATAACCAAAATAAACCAGAAGAACATAATCCATATCCAATTATTATCAAATAACAACCACAAAAACCCCAAGAATTCAAAGTCATTAAACCACCTAAAACTATTTCTATATGCACAACAGATGAATAAGCAATTAATGATTTCAAATCCACCTGACGTAAACATACCAATCCCATTAAAAAGCCAACAATTAATCTAATACCAATTCAAACAAAATTATATTTTAAACAACAAAATACTATAATACCAAAAACACGCATTAATCCATAACCACCCAATTTTAACAAAACACCTGCCAACATGAGCAGAAATAGGAGCTTCAACATGAGCCTTAGGTAATCATAAATGAACCATAAATATAGGCATTTTAACTAAAAACGCAATAATTATACTTATTTATACATATACATTACTAACTTCATCACCCAAAAATCCATATAAATATAAAGTTCCATTCATCTGATAAAAATTTAATAAAGCAATCAACAATGGTAAAGAAGCCAACAACGGATAAAATAATAAATAAATACCAGCCTGAACACGTTCAGGCTGGTAACCTCATCCTAAAATTAAAAATAATGTAGGAATTAATCTACCTTCAAAAAAAATATAAAAAGATAACATATCAGTTCTTGAAAAAGCATATATTAATATCAATATTAAAAAGATAATTATAAAAACAAATAAATTTCTATGATAATTATATTGATAAATAGAAACTCTTGCCATAATTATTAATCCGCGAATTCAAAATCTTAATAAAATTAAACCATAATATAATAAATCATATCCCAATACATATATCTTAAACCTTTAATATTTCCAATTAAATTAATAGATATTATAAATAAAAAAGCTATCAAAAAATATAAACTGAACCATTCATCAAAACATTCCATTTAAAAAAAAGAGGAATCATAAACAAAAATATTATGATAAATTTTAATATCGTAATACTATAAAAGACTGAAAAAAATCATTCCCATAAGAACGTACTATAGAAATTAAAACACCAAGCCCTAAAGTAACTTTACAAACTGCAAATACCAAATAAATCATTGAAAAATATAACTCATTTTGAAATTCACCCAACCAAAATATTAATAAAAAAAGTAAATAATACTATATACTCTAAACTTAATAAAATAATTAACATATGCTTCCTCTTAGAACAATAAATCCAAATACCACTAAAATAACAAAACACTACTACTAAACACAAAAATGCAAACATTAAGTTTTAATAGTTTAATACAAACATTGGTCTTGTAAACAAAAATGAAGAACATCTTTTAAAACTTCAGAGAAAGATAAATTTATCTATCACCAATCCCAAAAATTAGTATTATAATTAAACTATTCTCTGATATTTACATACTTATATTTACTATAATAATATTAATAATCAACACCTTTTTATAATAATAAATCATCCACTAGCTATTACCCTACTTATTATTATTCAAACACTAAGAATTTGTATTGTAACAGGATCAATCTCCTACTCATTTTGATTCTCCTATAACCTATTTTTAATCTTCTCAGGAGGTATACTAGTATTATTCATTTATATGACAAGATTAGCATCAAATGAAATATTTCAATTACCTATTAAAACCATAATTATTAATTTCATAATATCTACAATTTTTATCCTAATTATAAATAACATATATAATCATATATTATCATTTCACACATATAAAAATGACTCCTTCATAAACAAAATCATTAATATTACAATAGAAAATTATAACTTAAATCAACTCTACAATTACCCAAACTTCATTTTAACAATTATCACAATAACCTACCTCCTAATTACATTAATTGTCATTGTAAAAATCACATCCCTCCAAGAAGGACCATTACGACACTCAAATTCATAACTAATGAATAAACCCCTACGAACATATCACCCATTATTTAAAATTATTAACAGCTCATTAATTGATTTACCAACCCCATCTAACATCTCAACATGATGAAACTTCAGATCACTGCTAGGACTATGTTTAATTATACAAATCATATCAGGAATCTTCTTAACCATACATTACACCGCCGACATCAATATAGCATTTAATTGAGTAAGCCACATCTGCGGAGATGTAAATTTTGGTTGACTTTTATGAACAATTCATGCTAATGGAGCATCATTTTTCTTTATTTGTCTTTATACTCACGTAGGATGTGGAATATACTACGGATCTGACAATTTCATATTCACTTGAATAACAGGAACTCTAATCTTATTTCTAGTCATAGCTGCAGCTTTTATAGGATATGTATTACCATGAGGACAAATATCATTTTGAGGAGCTACTGTAATTACCAACCTTTTATCAGCAATTCCCTATTTAGGAACTGATTTAGTTGAATGAGTATGAGGTGGATTGGCAGTTGATAACGCTACACTAACTCGATTTTTTACATTTCATTTCATAATCCCATTTATTGTTGCAGCGTTCGTAATATTTCATCTACTTTTCCTCCACCAAACAGGATCAAATAATCCAATAGGAATTAATAGAAACTTAGATAAAATTCCATTCCATCCATATTTCACCTTTAAGGATATTATAGGATTTTTAATTATATTAATATCATTAACTATTCTATCACTCACAAATTCCTATTTATTAGGAGATCCAGATAACTTCACTCCCGCTAACCCCTTAGTAACACCAGTACATATCCAACCAAATAAGAAATGATATTTCCTTTTTGCCTACGCCATTCTACGATCAATTCCTAATAAATTAGGAGGAGTAATAGTTCTAATTGCATCCATTGCCATTCTATTTATCTTACCTTTTATATCAAATAATAAATTCCGAAGAATACAATTTTATCCAATTAATCAAATATTATTCTGAACTTATTCATCTATTGTTATTTTATTAACTTGAATTGGTGCCCGACCAGTTGAAGAACCATATATCTTAACAGGACAAATTTTAACCATTAGATATTTTATATACTTCATTATCAATCCCATAATATTTAAATTATGAGACCAATTAATTAATTAAGTTAATAAGCTTAAAGCATTTGTTTTGAAAACAAAAGATAGAATTATATTCTATTAACTTTTAATTTCTTAAAATGTCTCAATAAACCATATTATTTATTCAAAATGAAAAACAACAAAAAAATTAAATAATTCAAAGAAACGGGTAAGTAAGTCCTTCAAGCCAAATATATCAATTTATCATAACAAAAACGAGGTAAAGTACCTCGAACGCAAATAAAAACAAATTATATAAAAACCAATATAAAATAAAATAATAAAGAAAATAAATCACCACCAAAAAAATTAAAATAGTTAATATTCTTATAAATAAAATTCTTGAATATTCAGCCATAAAAATTAATGCAAAACCACCTCTTCTATACTCAACATTAAAACCCGACACCAATTCAGATTCACCTTCAGAAAAATCAAAAGGAGTACGGTTAGTCTCAGCTAAACAAGAAAATCAACAACAAAAATAAAGGAATACTAACAAAAAACAAACATACAACTGATAAACAAAAAATAAATTAATCCCAAAACCACCTACCAAAATAATAAATCTTAATAAAATCAACGCCATACTAACTTCATAAGAAATAGTCTGAGCTACAGCTTGCAAACCACCCAATAATGCATAATTAGAGTTAGACGATCAACCAGCCAACATCATAGAATATACACCTATACTAGTACAACAAAAAAAATAATAATGCCATATCAAAAGAAATCAATTCATATCCCAAAGGATAAATTAATCACACCAAAAAAAATAATCTAACCACTGGACAAAAAAAATATATTAAATAATTAGATATCATAGGATAGGTTTGCTCCCTACAAAATCACTTAATAGCATCAGCAAAAGGCTGAGGAATTCCCATTACACCCATCTTATTCGGACCCCTTCGAATCTGAATATAACCCAAAACCTTACGCTCTAATAAAGTTAAAAAAGCAACACCAATTAATACAAAAACTACTAACACAACATAGCAAAGTAAACTTATTATACAATAAACAATACTACATGTAATATTATTACATTCATGAATTCTAAATTCATTGCACTTCATTGTGCCAAAATAGTATTTAATATAATTCCAAACAATAAATTATTTAATGTATTTAATCCTTTCGTACTAAAATACATTTATTAAACACAGATAGAAACCAACCTGGCTAACACCAGTTTGAACCCAGATCATGTAAGAATTTAATGGTCGAACAGACCAATATATTAAGCTCCTGCACCCAATAATTTTCTTAATCCAACATCGAGGTCGCAATCCTTATTATCAATATGAACTCTCCAATATTATTATGCTGTTATCCCTAAGGTATCTTTATCTTTATTCCATAATAATAGGATCAATTATCCAATCATCATAGTAAAATAAAAAGAAGTTAAATTATTCCCTTGTCACCCCAACAAAACATTATATAATAAAATATATTAAATACCACTAAACATAAATTATAATATAATAATATAAAGATCTATAGGGTCTTCTCGTCCAAATTCATTATTTAAGCTTTTGACTCAAAAATAAAAATCAATTAATTATCCCGAGACAGTTATTGTTTTGTCAAACCATTCATTCCAGCCTCCAATTAAAAGACTAATGATTATGCTACCTTTGCACGGTCAATATACCGCGGCCATTTCATAACACAGTGGGTAGGCACGACTTCATATGAATACAAGAGAACATGTTTTTGATAAACAAGCGAACAATAATGTTTGCCTAATTCCTTAAAATAAATAATCAACAACACAATATAAACAATTCATTTACTAATTCCATCCATTATTACATAAGAAATAAATTATTCTTATTATCTTCATACAACTTTAATATAAATAATTATAAATAATTACATCCCAAATAATTATTAACAAACTCAAAAATAATAGCTAATTAAAAGCTCATATAATATATTCAACTAAATTATATTTAAACTACATATTCAAGCTTATCCCCAAATTATTAAGTACAAATTTATAATATAAATATCTGTGTGTGTGTATGTGTGTATGTGTGTGTATGTGTGTGTATGTGTGTGTGTGTGTGCGCGCGTGTGCGTGTGCGTGTGCGTGTGCGTGTGCGTGTGTGCGTGTGCGCGTGTGCGTGTGCGTGTGCGTGTGTGTTTTTTTTTTTACGTGGGCAGGGGAAAATCTTCTAAAGACACAGCGGGGCCCGCAACCCG